GAACGGTTATATCGCGTAAATTTAGATATAAGTAAATTATATAAAAATGAGACCCCTAAAATCAAGAATCTTTATTTTTTACAACGTGTTTATGAGGTAAAAGAGGAAATTGCCACATTTCTAGAAGAGGAAAACGCCCTTAAACCAAACATTTTCAAGATGCTTTTTTTGTGATGAAATTGAGTTACTTGATCGACATATTCTAGAAATTAAATACCCTAGATCTACATTCAAATACACATATGTTGGATATCAGTGATAAAGTTAGTTTTTTTTTTGTAGCAAGTTGGAGCTATGTAGCAGAAATGTGAAACAAAAAAAACTAGAAATGTTTGCAAATGTGAATGAGTGTGTCAAAACATGCAAGGAAGAAGAACAATATGTGAAAGTTGTTTAAGCCATGTCGACACAGAATTTTAATAAGTATTTTCTTGCTGACGATAAATTGGTAGCAAGTTACGAGGGGGTTAGGGATCCATTTCGAACTACTCCCGAAGACCTCTCAACTGCAAAAGAAATCTTCATAAACTTTACTGCAAGCAGCGAAATCAAGAGAGAATTTAGTAATAAATCTATCTTTGAATTTTGAGCGGAAGTAGATATTATACAGGGTGTTTCAAAAAGGTATGTCATAAATTCTTCCACAGATAGATTACCAAAAAATAAGTAGATTTAGCTATATTTACCTATATTAAAAACTGGCTCCCAACAAAGTTACAAGGCGTTAAAATAACATTCAGAATAACGTTTTTTTTTTTTGTAAAAAGTTTACTGTTACTATTTTTTTTTTGACATTTTTGCCAGTGCTGTAGATTTGAAGGCCCAATATTCTAAGGAGAAAAAAATTTTAAAATGATTCCTTTAAAAAAAGTTGGGGGGTTGGGTACCTTTTAACCCCCCGTATTTTTTTTGACATAAAAAACTTGCTTTATCGATCTTAAAATAAAAAAAACTATGAATTTTTAATTCTTTTTTTATAGCGAAATAAACTTTGTATCTTTCTTAGTTAACGAGCTATTTACAATTTTTTAACTGAATTTCTAGAGCAATTCATCCATCCTGGACTTAACATATCAACAAAACTAAGAGTAGGTCAGGAGTTATTGTACAAAAAACGCATAAAAATCAGTGGTGTACCCTAGGACTGTGCTTGAGCCGCCCCTGCAAAAACTACCTCTTTTATTTATATTTTTGTAAAAAAGGGATATATAATATTGGATTGACGCCATAAAAATGGTGTGCCACCCGTCGTTATGGAGTCATGCCACTGATAAATACACGTTAGTTTGGAAATGTATCTATTAAATTTAATAGTAATTAAAAAAATTATTTTTTTAACTAAACAATTAATGAAAAATTAACAATTAAAAATAAACACTTGACAATAATTATTAAACATATTTTAGAAACTATTTAATTTAGTAAATATTCAACATGTCCTCCTTCTTGAATACTCGGCCTTCAAATCTACGGCACTGGCAAAAAATTCAAAGAAAAAATCGCAATAACAAACAATATACAAAAAAAACGTTTTTTTGAATATTAGTTTAACGCCCTGTAATTTTGTTAGGAGCCAGTTTTTAATATAGGTAAATATAGCCAAATCCACTTTAATTTTTTAGTAATCTATCTGAGGAAGAATTTATGACATACCTTTTTAAAACACCCTGTATATTATTGCCTATCTTTGCGAAGCCGGATTGTCTGCGGTAGCTGCTTTAAAGACAAAATATAGTTCTCGACTGAATATTGACCAAAAACTGAGAGTGACTATTTTTAATATAAAACCTTTTGAAAAAGTTTGCAGTGCGAGACAGGCCCAAGGGAGTCACAAATAATTGTTAAAGCTACTTTTAATTTAGTATCAAAGAGTTTATTATTAGTTTCAATTGGCATTTGACAGTACCTAATAATACAAGGATATTAATAATAATTAGTTTAAACAGGTACTTACTTAATTTTTTGTATTGTCAGAATGAATATCATTTTGCTTTTCTTTCTGTGAATTACATTTTTTTATTAGTAATTATATTTTTTGTTCATTTTGATCACAGGTTGAGAAACGTTGACGAAACACTGATCTATAACAGGTCAGTGGTCAATATCTTATAAATTATTGGACATAAATTGTTTTCAATGCAGCGAAGTCTATGAACCAATTATTAAACCTGGTCATAAAGATAACTTGGGTAGATTATATTATTCATTATTTTGAAATTACTGCCATCACTAAATCATTTCAAGCAAATAGAATAAAATAAATAATAAGACTACGTATTAAAAATGCCAACCACAATGGATTGGTGGAGCCAATAAGGGCGAAAATTTAATTAACAAAATTCCAGACAAATATTGAATCCACCTGAAATTTCTATCCAACAAAACAGCAACACTGCAAGTTACATTTGTTTCAAACTAAAACACCCTCTTTTGCATCTGACCTCGACTAAACAATGTTGCCGGTTCATAAATTGTAAATGTCTTTTGAGAATAGCTAGCTGCGTATAAGTTTTTATGATACAAATTTCATTAATTTGATGTTTTTAGAATGTCATTGACCTTGTAAAGCGTAGAAATATCCATTATATTATAAATATATACGAGGATAGTTCACGAATTAATTTCCCTAACATAGAAGCAAAAACATAAGAAGAATAAAACTAATTTATGTTTCAACATAGTCACCTGCAACGTTTATACACTTGGTATAACGGTGTTAAAGTGTTTCAAACCCAAAAATTCAGACCTTTGAGTCTCCAGCCATTCATCTACCGCCGACATCACTTCGTTATCATCAGTAGAGCGGATTCCACGAAGATGTTCTTTTAATTTTGGAAATTCCGCATTTGGAATGACAGCTATTGCAACACAACTTCTGTGGGCCGGGGACTTGTCCTGGTTCAAGAGCACACCTCGTCTCAATTTTCCTCTTCTTTTTTCTCTGATTGCTTGGCGTACTTTTGGTATTAAATTCACATAATATTCATCTGTTATGGTGTGCCAATGCGGTAAATTATTCACGTAAATAACACCTTCAAAATCACAAAAACTGTATCCATGATCTTACTAGCTGGTGGGACAACCGGAAATTTTCGAGGGGGAGGGAAACCTCTATGCCGCCATTTCATGCTTTGTTTTTTGAATTTTAGATCAAAGTGATGAACCCATGTTTCGTCGACCGTAATAAATTTTCGCTTAAATTCATATAGATTCCTGTTAATGATCTCCAAATTTGTCTCCGCTCCAACCTGGCTAACACGTTTCGGATCTGCCATCAGCATTCGTGGAACCCAACGTGTAGAGAGTTTTTTGAGATCCAATTGATCAAGTAAAATTTTTTCAATGCTTCCAACATAAAACCTACATGTCCCTGCTATAGCATTGACTGTAATTCTTCTTTGATTTAATACCATGTCATGGTCAACGTGCAGAGATTTTTTTGAGATCCACTTTCTCAAGTAAAATTTTTTCAACGCTTCCAACATAAAACCTACATGTCCCTGCTATAGTATTGACTGTCAGTAATTCTTTTGTCATTTAATACCATGTCATGGATTAAATTCACATTTTATTTGATCACCATAATTTTGGGGGCTTCTGCACTTAGTGCATGTTGACAGGACTCTCTTCCCTTTTTGAAATCTTGTGACCAGTTCTTGATTACCTGGTACGAAGGGACAGAGTCACCCAATACTTCTAACATGTCCTTATAAATTTCTTGCGGTGATAACCCCTTTTTACAAAGGTACTTTATCGCACCTCTTATCTCAATTTTGTCCTTTTTTATAAAATCACTGCATTTGCATTTGTCATTCAACACCAACCATGTTAGGGACAATAATTCGTGAACTATCTCGTACGTGAACTTTTACATATTTTTGTTAATACCTTGTAAACAATTAGCTTGAGAACACCGTCTCGATATTACCAACAATGAACAGTTTATATTTGTATTGGAACACTATTCGATTTAATTCAGTAAAATAGACATATTAAAGGAATCAATGTATGTACTTATTATTATACTTTTAGTATATTTTTTAAGGGTACTTGCCAAGCCTTAACATATGTTTGCCACACTATTATCAGGATATTAGCATAATTTTTTTACAAAACGAATGATTTTATCAATGGTATTTTCAATCTCATCGTTTAATGCAGATACTGCAAATAAGTTAACAGGTAGTATTGTGTGCCATACAAACAAAATTTATATTCTTTTTTTTTATTTTTCAATTATAGAATAAATAAAGATAAACTCTTATTCCTACAAGGAATCATCATTCATATCTCTACTACTTTAAATCCCTTTTTGTCTGAAATTTTAGACAAAAATCTGCTCGTAAATTTGGCTACCGGAAAAGGGGTAAATGACGTTAAAGTTAATAAAAATTTTCAATAATAATACCACAATTTAATTTTCGCGATAAGTCTGTCGATTTATTTCTAAACGAAACTGAGTTTAGTCCGAAGGACGAGTTGATTATTATAAATAAATAAATAAAATTTCACAGAAAGGGAATACCAGCTCTAAACAGGGATTTTATTTGTTTGTTGCATTGTTAATTTGAATAAGACAAACTTAGAAACACGGGTTTTAGGTCTCGCAGCTAAAATTGAGAGTAATAACAGACGCAATAACAAAAACATCTGCGCATGACTAATATATCTACGTATATGAGTTTCAGAGTTTGTGTATGTCGCCAAAAATTACTGCCTATCTTGTGTGGTAAGGGTTCCCGGGGCCCTGCCCCGGTGGTACCTAGGGCCATGTGAGTAGAATCAATAATGGATTAATTAGCCGAGAATATTATTAAATTAATATAGCAGCACCAGTAACTTTTTTTAAATGATATTGATATGCTCCTGCTATGTCTTGATAACTAAAAAGCCCTTCTGTCAAAGAAATTATTTCATTTCAAAAATAATATAGAAAAATATGTAATAAGTTGAACCCTTTGTGAACTTTCATAATATTTTGTAAATGCAACTTATTGCTGTCAAATATAATTACTATGTGGTAAATTGGTTGAACTAACACTACTTTTACTCTTCTTTAACAATATCCTATCTCTAATATTTCCTAGCCTATAAGCAGAAGAATCTTTATGAACCAGCGGCACATTTTTCTTGTCTTTTTCAGAAAAGTTCATTTTTTCAATTTGTACCACCGACTTCAGATCGTAGCAAAAACCATCTTTACAGATCATTGGGCTCTGCAAAGATGCCAAAGGAGTTTTCACCAATGAAGATTCGGTCTGGTTCATTTCTGGGGTATCTAGGAAGAATTTAGGAACTGAACTTTGTCGAATTATTGGAATTTCTTTGGGCGAATCGATTTTGATGTGGAGACTTCGAAATTGTCTCCTTTCACTGAGAGATTTTTTTCTGAGTTCTACGTTGGTTGGAAGTGCTAGGAATGTAGTTTCTGATATGGCTGAAGTGTGAGCAAGGTTGTATTCTTGGTTCAGTTTTTCTTTTGAGATGTCCCCGAAACTTACGGTTTTCTTCACTGATGATAGGTATTCCTGTAAAAATAGAATAGCTTAGTTTATTAACAAAATATGCGAGATTGTTATAATTGGCATTATTATTTAAAAATATAAAGAATTTACCAAAAATTCTAAAAAAGTATTGTTTAATGTTTTAAATTAAAAATTCAAAAGTAAACACGTATTGCAAAAACGTTAACAATTAGGTTATTAATCTAATCAATGAATTACATTGAATAAGAGAATTTAAGGTAGAACGTTGAAATTTTCAAAAGTAAAACTCTCACGTAAATTTTCGGTATAGAGGGTGTACCAATAAAAACTTCCAGGCCGGATACTTTGGTAAGTAATAGAGATATTTTAATTCTGTAAAAGCCAGTTCATAGTGCGCTCATAGAGCTTCACTTTTAGATATAAATTAATTTTAAATAGGTCAATATGTAGATAGCGCTGCGCTCAATATATTTTTTTCGATGGGAGGATCTGTCTTATATAACGCATCTTGTAAAAAATGCATTTTTAAGCAGATTTTGTTTTATAAACTAATTCGATAAATCTAGCCATTTTTGATATACAGAGTGTGTCACTCAGAACAGTTTCATCTTGTTTTTCGGCATTAATCATTAGATTTTTAGAAATTGCTAAAACGGGTCGATTTTTATTCCAAATTAAAAATATTTTTACAATACAGACACCTGTCATGTGTCAACCCCCTCCCTTGCACTTCTCCAACACCTTAATTTTAAATAGGTAATGTACCATGTACGGTACATCATTGAAAAGCAAATTTATTGGAGAATTTAAAAATATTTCTGTATATTGCGTTACTTAAATTTTATCGCCCTCTAGCGGGATAAAAATCTAAAGCATTTGAGAAGCCTCGGCGTTTCTATTCCCTTAGGACTTAGAAGAGTCTAAAGCTAGTTGCCAAGAACTGCTTGACTATGCTATTAAGGGATAAATTTTGTTCTTTTTATTTAATTTTTTCAGGACTCCAGGAGCCTTTGGCTGGTGACAGTGCTGCATTAATTTCTTAAAAGTATATCAACAACCGTAGCTAAATATCTATGAGTAGTTACAAATAGTCTTTAGACAAGTTGGTTGTTACATTTGGTGACAAGCGGTGGTCCTTTAGACTTATCAGTTATTACAAGGTCACCAAAAATTTATATAATAGAAATTTGAATTGCTGTATTATTGATATATAGGATAAACGAGTTGATAATTTCGATGGCTAACAAGACAAATGTATGTCTAAAATTTTTAAAATGACGTTATTACCTTATTGGCTCGTTTTATATAGAATATTTGAGAATCTTAAAGATTTTACCATCAAGGACATAGAATCGTGCATATCACATTTTCAACAAAAATGGACATACAATATTTGGCCTCTTAGCCATCGATGTATTTGTTTTATTTTACTAACAAACAGAACTACTAAATACTAATGAAAATAAAAAAAAAGAAAATAAAATTCTTAGGATCTTTTACTTTTTAAAATAATAATAGCAATCTTACTTCGTCTCTTTCTGCTTCATGACCAAGAGATTCATATCTCTTATCACTATCCAAATCCAACACAACCTCAGGAATATTATTAATCGAAGACTGACTCTTACTTTTCTTTACTAACGTATGTCGTCTCCTGGGCTGAACAATAATTGGAGTTTTGTCGTGTTTTTCTGGAAGGTCTATTGTGACAACTGCTCTTCCGGCTATCACAGACACACTATCGTAAAACGCCATATTGTCGCAGAAGTTATTATTTTTTTCTTCTTTTATAATTGGTTCTTCGTAGTTGGCTATACTCTCGTCGAAGCAGAAACGCTCTTCTATCAAGTTCCACCAACATGTTTCCAAGCAACTAAAATAATAATTAGAATAAGCTAAACAATCAATAGAAAATAATATGAGTCAAAAAGAAGGAGGCATGGTACTTGGAAATGGATTAGAATATTAAAGAAACTGTAAGGGTTTTACTGATTTCAAACGAATTTTAGTGATTTTAATTAATTAGATTAACACGATTATGCTGAAAAATAAATGTTACGTGGATTTTGAGAAATGACAGTAAAAAGTCAGCTCAGAGTGGTTTGATCTGTTCACGGGCCAATATATTATGTACTAAAAAAGAAATAAGACAAAGATAAGAGAAATAGTTGAGTGGCACCTTAAAATTAAAACATATAATAAAAATAAAACACTTATTATTATAACTATAAATAACCATAAAACATTCTTGTAAGCAACTTTCAAATTATTCAATAATTAATTATAAAACAAAAATAGAGTTTTCCTTATTTTTTCCTCATTTTCTTAGTAAGAAAGTAGTGGCGGGGCAAAACCTGAATTTGATGTGGACAAGGTATATTTTAGGAGACCCTCTGCTGGTATCGCAGATAGACGGATTTTATATGGACAAATTATTTTTGACAGTTAAAATTATACACAAAAATGCAAACTTTTTCCACTTGAACTAACATTGTTGAGTGGCTAGCTACAGAAATATCGAGGCCGAACAAAATTAGATGGGCTACAAACAAATTTCAATCATACAAATCCCCAGGAGTAGATGGAATATATCCCATTCTACTACAAAAGGGACAGGAAATTCTAATTCCACATATGTGTCGCATATTTAAAGCATGTATAGCCTGGCGACACATACCAAAGGCGTGGCAAAAGGTGAAAGTCATATACCTCCCTAAAGTAGGAAGGTTTAATGACATGACGCCAAAGTCGTACCGCCCAATCAGTCTATCGTCATTCATGCTGAAAACGCTAGAAAGACTAATAGATAGATATATACGAGACGAAATACTGAGAGAAAATCCTGTCAGCGACCGTCAATATGCATATCAGCCAGGAAAGTCAACCGATTTGGCCCTGAATGATCTTAACAGGCTATTGTCAAAATCCCTGGAGGATAAAGAAATGGCAGTAGCAACTTTCGTAGATATTGAAGGAGCTTTTAGTAATGCTCAAACAAGATCTATAATTAACGCATTAGCAATAAAAGGGGTACCAGTAGTTCTATGTCAGTGGATAAAAGCCAGCCTAGAAGAAAGGGTAATAACATCATCTCTAGGCGAAGTTACATTGACAGCTAAAGCAGGCAGGGGCTGCCCCCAGGGAGGAGTACTATCACCCCTTCTCTGGTCAGTCCTAGTGGATGAACTTATAAAAAGGCTAATATCTGCAGATTTTTACTGCCTAGGGTATGCCGATGACCTGGCGATCGTCGTAAGAGGCAAGTTCGCAGGTACAATATCGGAGCGCACACAAATTGCTCTAAACATTGTCGACGAGTGGTGCAGAGAGGAGGAACTAACAGTAAACCCTCACAAAATCACAAGTCAACTTAACAAAACGAAAAGTACCAACAGGACTAAAGTCACCAGTACTGAAAGGAGTGAAGATTTTATTCGCTCAAGAGGCCAAATACTTGGGAGTCATCTTTGACCACAGGTTAACATGGAATCAACACTTGCAAAAAGTCACCCAAAAGAGCACAACGTCCTTCAACTTATGTCGAAGGCTGTGTGGAAAAAATTGGGGATTACAACCAAAAATGTCCCTGTGGTTATATACCAGAGTCATAAGGCCGATGATAACCTACGGGTCGGTGGTTTGGTGGCCAAAGACTCGGCAAGCTGGAGCCATTCGACAGCTCAATGGTATTCAAAGGCAAGCATGCCTGAGTACCACGGGAGCTATGAGAACGACTCCAACAGCAGCTATATGCTAAACCTAACACCACTACATATATTCATTCAAGGCGAAGCCAGGTCTGTCACATACAGACTGCACAAAGGTTCATCGCCCATAAGCAGTTTGCATGGACGCGACTACAGCGAGCTATATAAAGAGTTGGAGAACGACCAAATAATGGGAATGCCTTCAGACGAAATGCTTCCAAAGTATAGCTTTCAAAAGCAATATAAAGTAAGTATACCAGACAGGGAAGTGTGGACGGAAGGACCTCCTATTCATGCAGATCTCACCTGGTATACAGACGACTCCAAAACCCATGAAGGTTCAGGAGTAGGTATATATAGTACCAAGCCAAAGACAGGAATCTCACTGAGCTTAGGTAAATATGCGACAGTATTCCAGGCAGAAATAGCAGCAATACATCACTGCGCAAAAGAAGTATTAAGACAGAAGGTAAATGGAAAATCCATTGTCATATACTCAGACAGTCAAGCGACGTTAAAAGCACTCAGTTCCATGCAGGTACACTCAAAGCTTGTGTGGGACTGTTTGGAAGCCCTAACAGAGCTGGGTAGTCAAAACAGACTAACCTTAGCCTGGGTACCAGGCCACAGGGGACACAAAGGCAATGAAGAGGCTGATTTACTAGCCCGAGAAGGAGCTTCAAATGCTCTTATTGGCCCAGAACCCTTCTGTGGTGTAACAAAAACAACTAGCCGGGACAAATTCCTGGAGCCCGGGCACAAGTGGGGGCCCGGCAGCTTTAGGTGTGGATGTTTTCTTTTTTTAGAAGTTGGCCACAAAAGGCAGGAGCGCTGGTTTTGTAACCTACCGCACCCAGGTACCTTGATAATTTATTAATTCCATTTAATAAATATAAAATTGCATTCTTATTAAATTCAAAATCCTTCAGTTAACAAAAAATCTCCCACATAATTTAATCTGATTTACGACACCTAAAAAATAATATCTATAACCACGTCCGTAAAAGATTCAAATTTCGTGAACGTGTCTGGGACATAGACCATAAAACATATTTCTTTTCACGAAGTAATTATCATTAAAACACTTAACTCGCTTATCTGTCTAGTTTCAATGTTAAGACCGATTTCAACAATATTTCGATACACAAAGCTTTTAAGGCAAGTAATAAATAAGCCACCCCCTTTTGCACCCAAATTCGTATTTTCGATGGAAACTAAAACACAGAGACGTGACAGAAAGCTATTAAACTTAGTATAAAAAGTCTGACCGAAAGGAGCTCAGATTCGTTCAATTTTAATTATTTGATGTGCATGCACTCATTTATTATTTCTACCCAGTTATATTTCAAGTAGTCGGTGCCTTTCCTAAAAACGTTCTTCCTAAACAAAGTCTATCCTACAATATCTCCAATTCTCGAACGCTTTTAACGTCCCACGCCTTATTTCCGACGCTTGCCGTTCTTAAATATTTTCTTCATAATATCCTTGTCGACACCCTTCGTCATGTCCTGCACCACCTAAATAATTCTACCGTATATCTGTCCAAATGCAGTACCGTATTAAATACCTTCCTTTCCACCACGAAGCTAGGCGCTTCGAGGCGAGGCGACGCCCAACGCTGCGACGTACAAAAATCGACGCCGCCACAAGGCTAGATGAAATAAGTACATAATCTAATGTCTGTATTTTCAATGGTAAGTCAAAAGATTTATGTAATTTTCTTTAAAATACCACCGGGGTTTCGTTTAAACGAGAGCTTCTGAGATTTGCTGCAAAATATTATCAATTTAACCAATAAACCACATGGCCTTCAGGTCATACATCCCCAAAGGCAGTTAGGATAACATCTGTTTTCGATGGGTGCATTTTGAGTATTTTAATAGAAATTACAAAAATCAATATTAAGAAATAAACAGGGTTGTATTAAGTAATTTAAATAAAAATTATAAACATCCATATTTTAGGAATATACAGGAATGTGCTATCTTGGATAAATTATACAAACCAAGATGGTAAAATTTAATAGTAAGTTAACCAACTGGTGAATACACTGTTCGTTAGCTCAAGGGGTTCTACTAGGTTTGAAACAAAGTATATGTGAAATCAACATAGTAAAGTAATCAACTGGCGAATTGGCGCTGTTCGTTACTTCCATTGGTCATCACCTCTATACTCATCGAAATATTTACCTAAGAGGATTCAACCTGTGTATATCTAGAATAGAATCAAATCAACATCAACTTAATAGTTAACCAACTGGCGAATTGGCGCTGTTACTTAACTTCGTTGGTCATCAACTTAAATAAGAATATATACAACAATACAGTAGTTAACCAACTGGCGAATTGACGCTGCTCGTTAACTCCGTTAGTCATTAACCTAAATAAAATATATATTGATAGCAAATGAATATGGTTTGCATTTCAACGGGATTCAAGTGAGATCTCAGTAAATAGTATCAATTGTATTATACTTTGCTAATTATTGCATCACATTTAAAGTATGAAAAACACAAAAGAGTTTAAATATGAATTTGTATGTTTTATTTATCCATTTGCACCAAACTTTGCATTGAATCCTGGTTTATTTTAATTAACATTATCACAACGTAGGTATATAAATTATCAATAAATTAAATAGACGATCACTTTTGCTACTAGAGGAAAAAGGCCAAATACAGTAAGTATAGAATTTAAAATAAAATAAACTTGTGAGGTAAATAATAATATTTGAGAGTAAAATAACAAACAAAAAGGGGGACAGGGGTGGGCCGCCACAGTTTATGTAAAATACCAAATGGTTTAGAGATTTCACTAAAAAGGATCTAAGTTTTTGCTTGAGGACTTTTTTTAGAAATGTGATATTGAAAGGGCTTAATTTTTTTCATAAAATTATCACCTGCAAAATTATTCCGGGGCCCCACCTGGCTCTCGGCGGCCCTAATCATAACTGTTTTCTTCAATAAAATAACGAGCATCAGGCAAGCATTGTTTGAACCCAGTTTGTCGATATTATTTTATTCAGTCAAAAAATGTACTCATATTAACACCCAACACTGAGTAACATTAGTATGGTCTGCATTGACTCGACTCTGCTTTCCTGCCTTTTGTCTGATAAAGGCTTTATAAAGCTTTAATTTCCCTTCGATTAATTTTTAGCGTTTGCTGGATCTTGAAAATAGGAAATATTTTGAATGAAACCAAAAAATGTTTTTGCTGTCGTAAGAGAATTAGCTGCACCTACCAATAGTAGACTCCAACTATAATACTCATTGTCATGGCTTTTAATATTCCTAGTAAAATATTTTTCATGAGTTAAAGAAAGTAAGGAGGCCCTTGGACCGCGAGGCTGTAGGCGGTGGCTCACGTTGCCTCCTCCTTACGCCGCTTCTGTAAGAAAGTAAACTAAACATTGAGAAATATTAAAATAGATGAAATGATAAGCCTGATTAAATTCCTGCAGATATTTGGAAAATTGTAGGCATAGGTGTGTCTTAAAGTATTCAATAAAATCATTAAAAAAATTTAAACTGTTTGTAATAGTCCCTGTGTTTTTTTTTTTAAATTTTGACTGCACACGAAGATGGAAAATATTTTTCTGAAACATATGTAGTGCTGTGCTAAACGATAGAAAATAAAAACATAATCGAATAAACCAAGGAAAGTTTTATTTATATAAACGAAACTAATAAAATTGTATTCTTGTTCCAATAAACATAGAAATAGGGTTTACAAATCGATGATATAACATATACTTGTCTTTGTCGATAACGGTAACTGAATAATTCTATTTTCAATTATTTAAAATTTTATATAAACCCAATTAACACAGGGGGAAACTATTGTAGTGCCTTGCACTATTGTACGTAGTTTTGTCTAAAGTTATATTTGATATAGCATATTGTGATTCAACTTGTGTTAACCAAATTTTTGGGTTTGTTGTCCAAAAGGGTGATAATTTTAAAGAAGTATGTGTTAAGCATTTACAGATTCACCGTTATCAGAAATATCTTCAGGTTCTAATATTATATAAATTAGCACAATTTAAATAAGAATGGATTCAAAAATATTAAATTGTGTACCTAATAATCCCCAGCTGCTACTAAACTACTCAAATTAATATTTATCTTCTTAAAATTGTTTAAGGATAGTATATCTTGAAGCCAGGATAAAAAATGGGGTCATTTAGAGGGACTCGTACTGTGTGGCTAGCCAAAATTCTCCAAATTCTCACGCACGGAGCTTTGAAAAAATGGAAATACATTCGGGGTCACCAATTTGTGGGATTTGTATTATAGTCAACTTGTAGTAATGGTAATAGTTAATTTAATTAATTTATGTATAATCAAGAGATTAAACATTTTTTTAAGAAAATCTACCTTTCCCATTATTCGATAATTTCACATTATTTATGTCCGAAAAAAGCAACAACTATTGAGTTGACTATGACGATTACCTCATGCCATCGTTACTTTAAACAACTGTCATCGATTCTATATTAAAGGGAGCCCAGTGAAACTTTTTTTAGTACACATTTGCAGAAGACTAAATTATAAATGCATCGTTAATTCTTACCATGTAGAAGAAATACTTAATACTTATTTGCGCATGAGTAATAGAGATCATCAATAACGGAAAAGATCTGTTTAATAAATTAATCTTGATAGTCATGACGTCAACACAAAGTTAATATAAAAATACAAAATATAAATAAACAAATTGTCTATTTAAATAAACAAAACAAAGAACGTGGTAATTTTGTTTCTAGAATTTTCCATATCATAATCCCCCAATTTTGTGATCCAATATTTTACTCCTTTTCGATCAATTCTCGATTCTTAATTAAGTATATCCCATTCTTCTCTATTATTCTTTTTATACTCTTCTTGCATTTAACAGCGTTAAATGATTTTGGTTATGTTAATTGAAATTTGAATTAGAATCAACGAAATAAATCGATCAGGTTTTTGACGACAACCGTCTCGGTAGCGTGTAGTTGTCTTAAGCATTTGTATTGGTTTACAGGTAATTTTGTGTTTGCAAGACATGCGATTTCAAGTCCTACAGCAGAGTCTGTGAATTTTTAATTAATTTATATAGTTCGTTATAGGATTTGATGGATGTCGTATTAACAGTAATTTAAATTCTGTTGATATGATATTCAGATTATAAATCGCCAAGCGTTACCGTTTCGATGATGGTGGGTGGAGTTTTTCGGGTTTTCCTTACCTAAAAGTCAAATAGCACAATCAATCATCTTTAAGTTGCGTAGGAGCGCCACGGCAAATAATAATTATATGCATCCTTTAACAACACAATCTCAGTCGGCTTTAGGGGTTGAAATTCACTAGTAAGAAGGTGAATTTAGGGAGAGTATTATTAAGTTATGAAGGGAATCCAACCTCTCAAGGTAGTATTATTATATTATTTTACTCACTAAAATGCATTGGCAAATACTCCAATTAGTTTTGATATCCAGTCGAAACCACTGGTAATATCTAACTAAAAGATGTATTAAATAAATCTTAAGATATTTGTACGTATCTGCCTACTCATGTTATTTTGCATCATTTTCTTCATGCGTGGTAGTGAATGTAAGGAATATTGACCTACATTATTGTATTTACCTGCAATATTTTATTAGTGCGACATATAGATACATGATATGCAAAAAAAGAAAGACCTTGTTTCGGCATGGCCAATATAATTTCAAGGCATTGTCGTTTTCATTGAAACTTCTCGATATTAATATTTTTTTAATTTTAACTTTATATTTTCACTCATCATAATAAGAAGGCTTGTTCGTCATTGTTAATTTTTAGGTATTAAAAGCATTAATTAAAATCAAATTGTAATGTTTATTAATTTTATAAAAATAACTAACACCAATTAAGAATTCGATCATATTTCTAAAAATATGTTTCATCCAATCAATCATAGTTTATGCTATCAGCACGAGTATGCAGACTATCAACAACGTTACAAAATTTGGTAATTAAACGAATTAAACACATATGAGAACGTGCCGGGTGTGGAATGTAGAAAAACCAATAATACTAATTTGTATTAAAAGTTGTGGGACTATAATAGGGATCAACTAATTGAAATAACACTTACGAAACAACACTATATTAACGAAATGATACAAAACTGACCTCTCAGCTTATTCAACACCCAAAACTAAAGTAATCTCCAATTTTAAAACAATCTTTATCTTAATATCTTAGAGTAAGCAAGAAACATTGTATTAAATGTTTATATGTAATATTCGCTTGTATGAATAAAAGCATTTGCTTTTTCTCGCAAAATCTGAAGTAAATGCGGCAAGTGATATGAATAAATATCAGCAGAAGGTCTTACTCATAAGTAAAAGCAAATTCTTCATGAAAAAGTGAATACTTCTTCTCGTATTAATAAAAGTGAGTACTTCAAATTGCAAGAATTTACTTCTCTCAAAATGCAACTAGTTCAGAGCAGATGCATGAAACGAGTTCTGTGTACTAATTATTTGTTTAAAAGTGGTCAAAGGTGGCGGTTGGTTTAAAGTTGACAGATCTTGCAGTGAAATTGTTGGTGATAAATATATTATGGATGTCGTAAATTTGAGAAAAGTTAAGTTTTATAAGCGACGAAAATCACTACAGGACGTTTATTTTAAGAGTTTATTTAGATTTGAAGAACGGAATTTTCAGTGGCTAGCGAATCAATTTCTAGAAGACAATCGCGAGACACGGGGTGGTGCCCTTAGTCCAGAGTTGAAAATGAAAAGTTTTTGCGGTATGTTGCTGACCCAGGTTTTCAAATAGTATAGGTGAAGAGTTAGGAGTGGATCAGTCAACAGTATCCCGTACAGTCAGCAGTGTTAGTCAAAAATTCTTGAGCAGGCTCCTCAATGGATAAAATTTCCGACTTAGAGAACGCGCTAATTCACGCAAAGGAGACATGGTTGGACAAGTATAACTTCCCGACGGCAGTAGGAGTCTTGGACTTAGGCCTCATTAGGTCCATTGTGCATCCTTCTAAGATGATAGGCACCTCCTAGCTGGTGAGCCAGCCTACCGATTTAATATAGTTGAAAACGTCACTAAGAGGTGCTTCTCTTATATCGGCCTGTGTTAGCCGATACTCGTCGAACATAAATCTCCTAATAAATAAAAGCGTAGAGCAATCGTAGAGGATATACCCGATGGTCTCATCTTCTTGTTCGCACCCTCTGCAGAGTGCGGATTCTGACAGCCCCATGATATGGAGATGCTTCGGTACTTCGCAATGACCAGTCAGAATGCCTGTGACTAGACGCAGATTCTATCTAGTCATAGTCAAGTATTTTTTGGTGTAGTGTTGTCAGGATAATTTAAAAGTTTCCTAGCAACTCTGCAGTTTCTTGTTTTATCCCATCTTTCCCTAAATTTCATAAGGAAATGTTCTTTAATTAGGTCTGTCACTACCGATTTTGTCAGGCCAATAGAAGGGCAGGTCCAAAAAATATTTGTTTGGTAGGCTGCTTTCTTGGCCAGTGAATCAGCAAGACGGTTACCTTTTGATGTGGCGAGACCTTTGATGCATCTTAAGGTGACCACGTTGTTGATGCATACTTCGGCCAAAACTTCGTGACATTCTAGTACTAACCCTGACTAAATTCGTGGTCTGTTCAGAATAAGTAGTGCATGTCTGCTATCTGTATAGATGAGCATGTTCCTTCCAGAGATATTGTTTCTGGTGATTTCTTTTGCTGCTATGAGAATCCCCGTTAGTTTTGGTTGAACTACACTGGCACTATTGCCCACAGCCCATTTTATGTTAAGGTTTAAGAATCTGGTGTATTTCAATTTTATTTATTATGCAATGGATCTGATCAATCCTAGAATTTTTATCCCGAAATCCGAATTGATGGAACGAGATAAGTTGTTTTTTGAAGTCTTCTTAAGAGTAATTTTTTCAAATAGTTTTGACATCATAGGTAAAAGCAAAATTGGTCCATATTATGTTATTTCGTTATAGGGTTTTCCCGGTTTGCAGAGATTCACAGGCTTGGTCTGTTTTTTTATAAAAAAGCTTGAACTACCAAGCTTTTTCCAGCCAAGCTTTCAAGCTTTTTCAAGCTTTTGAAGGAATTATTTACATTAACGGTTTACAATAATCTACAAAATTTATTTAAAGTAACAATTAGATAAATCATATAATAATTCTATAAGGAAATTCTTATGATGTGCGTTGAATAGAAACAGACTCCTAAAAAGAAGAAGTAATTTAGGTATAAAATCTTATCATTATCGATTTTTATTTATTTTTAACATATATTTCTGTATCAGTAAAAGCTTATAACAGAACCAGCACTATTTGGATTTGGATTAATTTTTTCTCCTACGAAAAAGCTTTTTTATAAGAATCCCTATGTTAACTTTGTAAATGTCTTTTTATAGACGTAGTTGCCCCATTTTTCATTTTAAGTATTGTTGATTTTCATGTACACAAAGTGCATACTGCCTTTTGACTGTTTTGCTCTGTTCTTGACTAATTTAAAAAAATTAGAGACCTTTATGATTTCTGGACTTAATTCGAATATATTCTTCGCAAGGACTGCTAGAAGACATTCCTGCCGCTTCTTGTGCCACATATTCTGATCCGCTCTCTTGAAAGGGTTCCTCGATATTTGTAAGTACTTGATTCGAAAGGCTAGCACTGACTGAATTGAACATTAAAACAAAGGACGGCAAGAGAAGGGTTAGTAGACTTAACACGTGATCGGCAAGGTGGAAGAAAAGCTTGAGAGCTTGATAAAGCTTGGTAAAGCTTGAAAAAGCTTGGTAAATAAGCCAAGCCTGGACTTATAAAAATCAAGCCAAGCCAAGCTTTTTGTTTAAAAAAAGCATGATTTTTAAGCCAAGCCAAGCTTTTTGTTTTCAAGCCAAGCTACTTGGCTTGGTGAAACACTGCCGGTTTGGGTATCATTATTACCTCAGCAGTTTTCCATAGTAGTAGAACATTACATAAATGATGTGTTTATTATATTGATCAGTTTTACTAAATATTTTCTTAGTAATTTCTTTAGTATCTCTGTCCTTTGATAATATCTAACCCAGGAGCATTTCTACATTAATATAATTTTATTATTTCTCTTTGTATTTCTATAGGATTGGTTAATAATATTTTCTGTGTATCACTAACTTCCCCTTGGTTGGTGTATATGTTACGCACAATACTCCAATTCGGGTAATACCCGAAAAAAATACACAAAACTAATTTTGCGCAAAGAATAATTCCCAAACACGAAATTGTACTCTTCTACGGCTATTGAGAATTACAAAATAAGCAGAACTTGTTTTGCGCAATTTGATTACGCAAAATAGTTTTCTTTATTATTTATTAATCAATACTATAATAAATAAGTAGACTGAAAGAAGTGTGCACACTACTAGTGAAATAAAAGTGGAAAAGGTACAAGTGTGTAAAAAATTTGAAAATTTTTATTAAAAAATTTGGCTAAGTTGGCGGTAAAGGCACCTAACTCCAATTGGTTAAAAGTAAAACAATAAAGAACAATTTTTTAACAATAACGTCCGAACCCATATAAAAGGTAGGCTAGTAGTAGTTGTTGTAAATAACTTTGAATTTTGAATTCCAATTTTCAAGTTCCTACCTTTAAAAAATTTATACTTGCATACAAACGTTAACACCCTATTTCCCCCTTAAAATGTAAAAATACAAAAATCCTGAAATACATTAATATTTATTTATGATGTACAATCCCAAGTTTCTACCTTACATAAATCAATACTCCTCTACAAACTTTCACCCCCAATTTCCCCCCTTAAAATGTAAAATTTTAAAAAACCCTAAAATAAGTCATTATTTATTCATGATCGGTAGCTACAATTCCTATTTTCAAGATCCTACCGTTACAAAATCTATACTGCCATACAAACGTTCATCCCCCATTCTCTCCCCCCCTAAAATTTAAAAATGCAAATTGCGTCATTATTTATTTATGATAAGTATCTAGCTACAATTCCAATTTTCAAGTTCCTACCTTTAAAAATTCGATACTCCCATAAAAACTTTCTCCCCCCATTTCCTCCACTTAAATTGTGATAATTATAAAATTCTTGGTGGGTGTCTGCGTCGAAAAAGGAGTAACTATGCCAAATTTCAAGTCAATCAGTTTTATAGTTTTGGAGTTCTTGTGATGAGTCAGTGAGTGATATTTCGCTTTTATATAGATTAATACTGTATTTAGATTGCCGAGTAGAACAATATCAATGCAAATTAACTTGGAGGACAATGGAGAGTACAAATAGATGGCAGCAAGCTCTATCGTGTCCAAGTCATGTCCTTGATAATTTTGTAGTCCTTCAACCAAACCCTTAGACTTAATACCAAATCATTGAACGATTGTCGAAATCTAATAACGAACATAATTTCTCAATTTACTAATAGATGGACCCATAGTCGATTAAGTATGAAACAAATATTTGTTTCAAAAATTAGATATTCGAGTTTTA